ACCTGGTGTCTCGTATCATAAGCCACCAATGATCAAAATGTTCATTTGAGGAATCATTGTGCCGGTATTTTTCAAAACTAAATTTCAGACTTAATGCTATCAATGCACTAGTTTGTTTTAATTCACTCTCAACAGTTTATTACAGAACGGTCCTTCATACACCTGGTGTCATGTTTTCAACAACTGTAAGGTTCAGCTGACCTGAAGACAGAATGTGTCCTTTTAATATTTGAAATGTAGCACATTTTTAAAATGTGTTAGCCAGTATAGAACAAGGGGTGAATGCCCAAACTGGGTTGATGTAATTAGCAGAGTTTGGCAGGGATCTGTGTATTAAACTACCCCGCTCTTCCAGATTTGCACCACTAGACCAGTGGTTCGTACCCTTGACATTCCAGATTTTTTACAAATGATCCAAAACACTAAGTACAGGCACATTAAAGACTACTTTGTTTAACCAAACCCTTGGTATTTTAAAATACACATTCAAAGTGTGTAATATTTCATGTATTCTAAAAGAGAATCATCTTAATTTTGCAATAAAACTTTCCTTCTACAGTTACATTTTAGGTTTAAAGAACTGATCTACTCCAATGTTTTTGATAAGAGGTGCGAGAACAGATTGTTTTAACCAAAGGGGTACAAGCTGCAGTAAAGGTTAAGAACAACTGATCTAGGCTCTCGCACAGTCCGGTCAGTTACGATACCAAAAAAGGAGGATCACCAAATGCTGTAGTATGTACAAAGGAAAATCAGAAGGATCGACATGGCAGTTGTCATTTAATGCATTAAAGTACCAAAAATACCATACACATAAATAAAACTATACATGCAAAATGTGAATTAAATTCCCTCACTTTAAATTCTATGCTTCTAACTTCACATTCTAACACTGTCTTACATTACTGCTTAAAATATTTCCTAGAAGGAGGTAAGTGATGTCAACAATCTTTTTTCCCCAAATCTAACTCTTACTCATAGGTAGCCTCTGCAAGTAACAGCACATGCTCTGCGCACTAGAGCGCTGTCATCATGAACAATATCTTTGTCAAGAGCATCATCAGATTAATTGTTCCCCACCACATCACATCTCTCCACTTCTCCAGTGTCTATAGCCTGGCCCCTTTCCACCAGTGGACTCGCAAACAGGCACTGCCAGGGGTGACGAGCACTGTATACACTGTCACCTGACTATGAATCCCATTCTGTGGAGATCGTACCCAGGATTGGGGAAAAAAAAAACAGTTGACTGCAGTTTTATCCACGGTTGTCCCTTGCTTATCTTACTCCCTTGGATTTCCATCTTTGACACTACTGCTCACTAAAACTCCCATCAAATGCTGGAATGTTATATGCTTAAGCCATGGGCCACATCTGTGTGGAAGACTTGCTTTAAAAAATTAAGTGGCCCTTATCCAGGTGTTAACATTTTTTGTGCATTACCTGTAAGTCATTAATATAAATAACATTTAGAGAAAGCTGGCAGCATGTAAATCATTTGTACATTTGAAACTCAGAATTGACTATTTAGAGAGCTCCCTTTTAATACAGCAGCAGCAGTAATATGATTACTTTGCAATACTACTAAAAATCTACATACGATTGAACCATATATTGTCAAAAACAAATGCTAAACTCTGACAGCAACAGCCCAGCCCTGAGTTACAGACACGTCCTCTCGTGAGACAGCCCGAAGGTATTTCACTCGTGTGTGAGCCTGGTACTGTGCACTGTGATGCACGAACCCACTGCTGCAGCTCACTCACCTTCCTTGGTCAGGGGCCTCCTCACCACATACTGCCGCACATCATCCTCCTTGGACAAGTTGAAAAGCTTGCGGATCTTGCTGGCCCTCTTGGGACCCAGGCGGCGAGGGACAGTGTTGTCAGTCAGTCCAGGGATGTCCTTCTCGCCTGGAGCACAAAGCTGCATTTCAGCCAAATGACTCACATCAACAACACAAAT